TGACAGTGTTCCTTGGAAAAGCAGGGGAGGATGGCCCATATGTTGGGTTCCTGTGCCCACATGGGAAACTGGAGGAAGCTCCTGACCAGCCCAGCTCTGGCTACTGCAGCCATGTGGGGAGTGAACCAGTGGATAGAGGATTTCTCTGTCTCTTCTTCTTGTAACTCTTCTTTCAAAACAAAAAATTCAATTGAAAAAATTTTAATTTTAGCCTTGTAACTCACTCAGGTGTGGAGTAGAAAGGCCCCACAGCATATGTTAGGAATGTAATGACAAGCCCAACGTAATCACTGAACATCCTTCCTTTGTACGGCCTTGCCATGACCTAAACAGCTTCCTTGAACGAATCAGAGAAAGGCTTGTCCTCTGAGATGCAGCCCCACCTACCTGGCAGGCTGAATGCAGGCTGGGTTTTAGCCCTGCGCAATTTCCTCCTTCAACGGTGCCCACAGACAGTGAGAAGCTGTGCACTCCTGAAAGGTGGCCCCACATTTAAACAAGGGGTTTAACAAGGGTAAACCAGGGGTTAAACATTACCAGAAGTCTCATTCAAAACACTATCACTTAGTACTTCAACCTAAAAATCAGTCATGAATACTCAAATATTCAGCAGTTTAGATAAAAAATACATTATTCTATGATGTTTTAGAAAAATGACTGCAGTAAATCAAACAGAAAATATGAGTCAGTAAATATTAGAGATTACCTATAAATGGTGAGTTCCTTGTAAAGACTCAGGACTATTTATATTTTTATTAGATAAGTTCTAGTAGAATAAACATTTGCAGACAAATATGATCCTAGTAAATGTGATATTAGCTGAAATGGGTTATCTGTTGGTCACACAGTTCACTTAGAAACATTAAAAGCATAGAAATGCTCCATAGTAAGCAATGCCCAATCAGTATACTAAACAGAGTTTTGGTAAATCATCTTCTTATTATTGTTTTAAAGATTTCTGTATTTGAAAGGCAAAGTGTCAGAGAGGGGGATCTTCCCTCTGCTGGTTCACTCCCCAAATGGCTACAACAGCCAGGTCTGGGCCAGGACAAAGCCAGGAGCAAAGAACTGCATCCTGTCCACCTGTGTAGGTGGCAGGGGCCCAAGAAGTTCCATGCTCCACTAGCTCTTCAGTGAGTACATTAGCAGAGAGCTCATCAGAAGCAGAGCAGCTGGGATTCACACTGTGCGCCTATTTGGGAGACTGACATCACAAGCAGTGGAGCTCAGCTTGCTGTACCACAATACTGGACCCAATAGTCTGTTTCTTAAACCGATTCATTTATTCATTTGTATAAATAACTTAATTCTAAAAAGAGCCAGAAAGAAACCAATGCTAATTGTGGAAGGGGCTTTTAACAGTTCCTTTAAAAAAGTTAAAGAAAAGTATACATGGATCACAATAGCTTATAGGTCTTGAATAATGACCATGTGGCATAGTTTTTAAGACATGGGAAAAAGATCTCAACTTTCTGGAAGTCAACTCAAAAGCTGAATACAACTAGCAATTCTGGATTTTATAGTGTAGAATGGAATTTATCAGGAAAACAAAATTATGAGCTTTTCTTATTTTCTGAAAAGGTTTTAGGCATTATGCTGGAGGCTGCTGCCAACCCAGTAAAACAGATGTTGAACAATAATATGTGAATCAAACACAAATCCTATGATTTCATTCAACAAAGAGCTGAGACATATAGTTTTGGTCTGACACTCTCCCGAATCATTTCACAAAGAAGGGCATCTGGGCAATGCTGCTTTGCATATGGTCTGTGGTAGGGGAGGCACTCCTACAGCCACAGAAAGGCAAACTTATTTTAGGGTTTGCAGGCCACAGAAGTTTTCTGCCACATATTCTGCCTGCCTTCCTGTTGCTTTAAACCATATCTTTAAAATGTACTAACCACTCTTCCCCTTTAGGCCAAACAGCTGCAGAATGGGTCTGGCTGGTGGGTGGCAGCCCTCTGACACTCCGGTTTTTTTAATCATTCTGCTTTAGGTACAGGTGGTCTCCAAAGGAGAAGTATTAGGGACTCATATTTATATGCTAAAAAGATGTAGTAAGTGTGCCCTGATATAATCTTAAGAGATAATTCTGAGATCCTCATTTAAAAGTGATGACCGGCAGATCTGTCTAGGAAGTGCTGGGAAGGTTTCAGAAGCTTTCCAACATTTCTTGAATTAAAAAATTTTTTTTTAAAATATTTTTTTGAGAGGCAGAAAGAAGGAGAAGGTGGTGGGGAGGAGGAGCTTCCAGCCACTGATTTATTTCCCAAAAGCTTCCACGGGCTTGGCAGCTGAAGGCCACTCGGATCTCAATCCAGGTTTTCCCATTGGAAGCAGGGACCCAATCGCTTGAGCCATCACTGCTGCCCCTCAGTGTCTGCATTAGCAGGAAACAGAATCAGGAGCCAGAGCTGGGAAACATGTCAAATGCGGGTTCCTACTCTGGGCATTTAAGGAACCAGTGACTAGATACAGTTTAATTACCATGTTGTGCTCTTTAAAGCAGTGAAGTGGGTCATTAGTAACAGTGGAAAAGAAACTTGGGACAATTGCAGGGTATATGATGAGCTGTGGTTGATGGAGTAATACTGACAGCTGCTCAGATAAATGGCTGGAGAACTTTAGGTCACCTGCAGACCTGTAACTGAGTTTGTTAATTTGGATGTTCTGGGTTTTTAGTGGGAAATACTCTTGTCCACTTTTTTTCTAAAACAGGTAGTAACTTGCTGGGTTTGCTGAAAAATGAAGACTTGGGCGGCAGTGGTAGACATGATGGCTGAGTGTGAATCGGCAGCACTAGATTCTGAAGACCTTGCTTGAATTCTTCAGTGGTTTCTTCCCTTCTAACTGCCCATCAGAGAAAGGCCGATGCCTTGGTGAAATGTTATTATCATTTACATGTTACTGTCAATGTTTAAAAGTTTACTGGGTAAAATCAGAATTTTATCTTTGGTTTAATTTCAAATGACTCTTAATCTGAGTAGAGAAAAGCTGGGTGGGCTTGCGATCTTGAAGAAATGGGTAAGTCCAGTGGCATGTCCATACAGACTTTCGGCAGTGTGGAAATGACCCTTCCCCGAGCCCCACAATGACAGTTAGACATTAGGCAAGAAAGTTTCTCCTGGTTCTTGAAGGAAGTGCAGGAGTTTAAAAACAGTACTGGGATTTGTCAGCTGGGATCACTGTGACATGCTTCCTTTTCTCAGTTTTATAGCTCCTCCATAAAAGGGTATAACTTTGAAAGAAGTTATTTTCTTTGAGAGGCAGAAAGAGAATGAACAAACACGCTCATCCACTGGTTTACTTCTCAAATGTCCAAAATGGCCAGTAACCAAAGCTGACAGCGGGGACACAATCTGAATTTCCCGTGTGGGTAGTGGGAACACAGCTCCTTGAGCTGGTATCACTGTTTCCCAGACTGGCAAGCAAATGCAGGTACTTGGAGGAAGAGCACAGGCTTCTCAACTACTGGGCCAAATGCTTGCCCAACTTTTAACTACATTTTAATTCTTATTTCCAAATCGTTAGACCATAGCAATTAAAACATAATTTTAGATATTAAAAAAAACAAGACAACATGTTATAGCATTGACAGGATAAAGAATTTAAACAGAGGTAGATCTGCAAAAAGCCACAGTTGCAATTTCCAGTGACTGATTCTTTCTGGAATATCAGTTTTATAGAAATGCTTGTCCAGTGGTACATGATAAGCTACGGGGCCAAAAAAACTTCCTATCATGTAAATATGGAGTGGGAGCTAAAACTGTCAAGCAGTAAGTAATTTCTTTCAAGGACAAAATATTAGGGGATTCATGTAACTCCAAAAAAAATGTTCAAATTGTCACATACTGTTAGGGACATTCGTTTTATAACAGAACTTAATAGAGACATTCAAAAGATTTTCATGAACTATATGCAGAAAGTTATTGGTTTCTTGATTTTGATTTACACCTCCTCTCCTTAGCATAAGAAAATTCCTTTTTGCATACACAAAATTCAGACTTACTGAAGTTTTACATTATGTTTAAATCACAGTATTTGTCTACTTCTGTTACTTGGATTCTCATTTGCAGATTATTCAAAAGCAAATCATTATCACAAGGAAAAATGAGACTACCTCAGGGGTGGGGATCTCATAAAAGCTCCAAGGTAGGGAGGGGTGGCTAGAGAGGCAAAGCACAACCCCAACACCTTTCACTTAGAGTTTCCTGAAAAAAAAAAAAAAAAAGAAGAAGAAAGGTAACATTACTTTAGTTTCCCTTAGTGAAATAAACAGATGGCAGTACAAGAGGAATACTGAAATGTATAAGCAAACTGCTTCTCTTACGCCCTCATAAAGCAGATGCTTTAAAGAGACTTCGCAATAGGGTTCAGGGAGGAGCACGTTCCATTTCAAGAGACATGTTCAGTAGGAAACTGGGTTTCTGTGTACTTTAGTAAACAGGAAGATTTTCAAGAAAACAGACTGGAGAGATGGGGAGCAATCCACCCAGAATACTAGCGGGTAAAAAGAAAACCACTGAAATAAAGGTCGTTTAGCAACATCCCATAGGTCAGCAGTTATATAGATGTAAAACCTAGAGTATTTACTTTAGTTGCTATCAAGAGCTACTGTGTGAGGAACAAGCTGATGTGGAAAATGAAGAGACTGGCTTTTGTATGCTCAACACATCTAAGACGTTATATGCTGAGCTTTCATGCTGAATGTTCTACATTAGAAACTAGCATCACTGAAGGATTGGCCACAGTCTTACAGGTCATCCAGGGGTACGGGTGCCTTTCCAATAAGGTACTGGACAACTTTATTCAAGAGTTTACTAAGAGTGATGGCAGCTGAATCCCTCACTCAGCAAACCACTCCGCTGATCTCAGTCTGCAGAATCTCTGTCTGTCAGTGCTTGACAAGGTCTGGCAGTGCGGTCATGGAGTGTCTGTTTCTACCTGTGGGTTCGCTATGAAGGATTAAGCCTGGATGAAAAGTAATGGTAGGAAACTGGTTAATTAATTCAAGAGTTCAATGACTGGTAGTCCAGGTAATTGGAGCTGAAATATGGCTGGAGGTCAACTTTGAGAAACGAGAAAGAAATCATTTGGACTGTACACTGGAATGGTTGTTTTATGTCATGATCCAAATTTCCCAGGTATACGTGTGCCAGTGTTTTTCTGGCCAGAGGATCCCAAAGCTGGAAGCATTCGGCTGGTGGCATGTTGGTGTGCTAAGGGACAGGCTCATAGCAAGGCAAGTAGGACAAGGGAATAGTTCTTGGTTTTAAATTTGCCCCGCGCTACTTAGTGAATAATGAAAAACTCAAAGAAGTATTTACTACCTGTGCATCAGAAAAAAAAAACATTATTTTTCTTCTAAGCAGATACTCAGGATTTCATCATTATATTTTAAGTATCTGCACCTTCTTTTTTTTCCATTTGTGAAAAAATGATTCAATTTGGTATATCTTTAAATCTGAGTTAAAACTAGCTGCCTTACAATGAGCTTTTACTACCATTTCTTAGCACCTCCTGTTCAGGTACTCCTCAAGTTATAACTTAGAGCTGCCCTCAACTCTTTATCTACTCCCTCCCAGAACTAAAGGAACAGATCTTTCAACCAGCTTTATGTAAACAGTATCCTTTACTAGTTACCCTGTTACACTTGCCTGGGCATAACCAGAACATTTTCAGAGACGGGGAAAATACTGCAAAATTTCAAAGGTCAGCTTTCTGTTATTCCCTGATAATTTCAGCAAATTATGCTACTGAGATGGAGTACAGATAGTCCACATCACCGTCATGTTTGTCTAGTCCTAAGAACAGCGGCAACCTGAAGATCTACAAAGATCCAAGGGAACACAGCTACCACCTTGAGATGGCAGGGCTCCTGCAGGTGCCATGGGCTTCAGAAAGGTCTCAACTGTGAGCACACATGGCCATCCAGAGCCCATGGCTATCTGGGAAGTGATAAGCATGAAACTTGGTGACAAGGCCGAGCTGTTTACAACACTCAGGCCAGCACTGGGATGCGGGGAAGAACTCCCCAGAATCCTGCAGCTGGCTTTTTTTTCCTATCTTGGAAAATGATCCAAGAGGTTCACATGACAAGTGCTGGCTGAAGCTGACCACCTGCATATGGGGTTTTATCAATCCTTAGATCATTGTTTTCATTATTAATCAAATATTAAGGAAATTTATAATTTACATACAACTTTTGTTAAAAAAAAAAAACCAGAAAATAGTTAACTTCCTATATCCAGTACAAACTGTTAATCTGTTAAGAAAAGCTCAATTACCCCAGCATTCAAGTATGTACATACATATCATTCTCTCTTTCTTCATAAACATTTTAGGATGAGATAAAGCCATGAGCTAAGCACCCAGCAGGTCCCATTCGTCATGTTCTGTGTGGCTGGCAGCGTTAATCAGAAAAGGCCTCCTTTATTGCGATGGACATGATATATTTGAACATGAAGATCTCTAAGGATTTTCTTATTCCTTCTGCGAGGCTTATGGTAGGTATATTTTAGTTCTTGGTAGAATAATTCATCAGTGGTTCCTGAGAGGCTCAAACATGATCACTGGCCAGATTCCGAAGAGAAACTGTTTGGAAATAAGTTAGGGCAGAATGAGAGTAGTTCAAATTGTGGCATGCCATCTCTCAGCATAAGAATAAATCTGTAGGGCTAAGACAGTGCTTGGTTGGTTTGCTAGTGATTGTCCTGACATTAGAGGCCTGTACTCCTTCCAGACTTGCATCCCATCTCAGAACGTGTTTTCACTTAATATATTTAAATGTATTTTCAAACATGGAGCTGGGCATGTAAATCCTCCATGATCCTAAAAACAGCTAATAGCTCCCTCTTACTGTTGAAGTAAGTTGCTTCAAGGTTTAAGGAGGAGAGACTTTTCTAGGATCGTTAATAGTCGTAAATGGAAGATGGAAGATTCAATGCCTTTTGGTTCCAAGGCCTCTGCTCCCCCCACTGGCTCTCTGTTTCCTTCTGTCTTCTTCGTCCTTCATCCCATTCTGCCAAAGTCTCTCCTTCCCCCAACACACATGCACACACAGCACTTGTGGACTTACCTTCACTTTTGGTCTGTATCTTAGGTAAAGTGTTCTTGTATATAAACTGAAAGAAAAGGGAGAGAGGGAAAGTTCTTCAGACTAATCTTTAATCCATGCAAACTGGCACACTGACCACTTTAACCAGAGTGCTTCCAATATACAAAGGAAAAAATAACACGGGCGTATTTCTTTTTTGCTCATTTACCATGTTTTTTTGAGCAGCTACTCCATGCAGAACATTTGGCAAGATGCTAAGGAAGACAGAAATGATTGGCTCATAGACTGAAGGATGCCTGTACCTTAGTAATGAGTGATCCACTAAATGCTTGATCTGATTCCAATTGAAATTAGTGAATCCTTCAGTTCTGGGGTATAAGGATTAAGGTAGAGTTTCTTTGGGTATTTTGGAAATCGGTCTGTCAGCTCTATATGGGTTAAATACAGGTATAAGGGTTGGTGTTGTAGTTTGGAGGGTTAAATGCAGGTACAGAGGATAACCAGGAAGGTAACAGAGTCTTCTTCATAGCACCCTTTAAGTGAGTCACCTCTGGAGGTTAGATCAAAGTCTAAAAGTAGTGTTACAAAGTATCTGGCATATGATTCAGTTATATTTATCATTTTATTGTAAGGGAGAAGGAGTAGGGGAGGGAGGGAGAAGGTAATGGGAAAGGAGGGAGGGAGGGAGGGAGGGGGAGAGAGAGAGAGAGAGAGAGAGAGATGCTCCCATCTGCTAGTTTATTTCCCAAATGGCAACAATGGCAGAGACTTTGACAGCTGAAGCTGGGAGACAGAAGTTGGAATGTTGATTCAAGTTTTCCTATATGAGTAGCAGGGACTCAAGAACCCAATGACCTGAGCCATTACTGATACTTCCAAGGATCCTCATGAGTAGAAAGGTGGAGTCAGGAGTCAGAGCTAGGAATTGAACCCAGGCACTCCATTTTAGGACATAGGTATCCTTAGCAGTGTTTCAACAGCTAGGCTAAACAGCTGCCCTCAAATACTATTTTGTTAATAAGTGTCAGGGCGGGTGTCATGGTGCAGCTGATTAAGCTTCCATTTAGAGGACAACTGTGTCCCCTGTCACAGTGCCTGTTCAAGTCCCAGCTCCTCAGCTTCTGCTCCAGCTTCTTACAGATGCAATCTGGGTAAGAGCAGATAATGGCTTGAGTACCTGGGTTCCTGCCACCTATGTGGGAGACCCTGATGGAGTTCCAGCATCATAGTTCTGGCCTGATCACACCTGGCTTTTATGAGCACTGGGGTATGAGCCAATGAATGCAAAATTTCTGTCTCTCCCTCAGTTTGGCTTTCAGAAAGATTGAATTAAAAATAACAATAGGAAATTGCCTCCTGTTTGAAATACAACCTTAGTAGTATGTTTCAGATGCCAATTTCTAAAATAAACTTTCTATTGTTTTTGCTTCTCTTTAGGAAAGAATCATGAACTGGGGGCAGAGAAGCCCTGCATTCTGTGATTCTAGGACTCCTTTAATGCAAGGAGTGGTACTTGACCAAGAGCTTTACATATATTTTATTCTTAAACTACCTACTAGATGGGCTTTAATCATCTCACTTTGCATATAAGAAATGGTCCAAGAAAGGTAAGCTATTTCTTTTAAGTTACCACAGCTAGTAAGGGGCAGAAGCAGGGTCTGAATACAGGTTTTGTGTAGCCAACTGTTAAGTAGATCCTGGACAAGTCACTTCTCTTTAGGCCCCAGCTTCCTTCATCAAATGAAGAAGGAAGGTTTCTGACATTGGTGCAGGGATGTAGAAAACTCTCGAAAAATCTAGTCTGGCCCTGCCAAGGCAAATGCAGGCAGGAATCAGCATTTAATAAATCAGTGGTAGGCTAATTTTTAAGCTGATAATTGGCCCATGAATGATGCTATAAATATCCAATGGCCCCTAATGGAGGAAAGATTCCTCACCCTTGATTTAGGAAGAAAGAAAATTCTGGCCTCAAATCCAGGTAATAACACTAATTGGCCATGAGATCATCTGCGAAGTACTTCCCCCTCTGACTTCTTTCTCCAGGAATAAAACGACCACTTTAGGGGATCATTATGCAGACTAAAGGAGATAGTATACATAGATATAAATAAATAATGTCCTCTGCCTAAATGAAGCTTTGTGTTAAAAATCAAACTATTTCTATGGAAAGTTTGAGACATACAGAACTATTCATCACATAAAGTTGTTAAAATTATCTTTCCCTTTATTATAGCATTTATAGTTAGGCTTGCTTAACTGCTGACACTGGTTATCTAGGCTTTTCTTGCTACTTAGTTGTACTATGTATGATAGTTAAGTTACTACACCTCAGTTCTAAATCCATTTTTTTCACAATTGATATAAAAATTGCATAATTTACATAATTTCATGAGTTTGGACATATGCATACACACCTGAAAATATCACAACAAAGTAATAAACATGTTCATCAATATTGAGAGTTTCCTTGTGCTACTCTTCTTTATTTTTTTAAAAAAAAATATTTATTTATTTATTTATTTGAAAGACAGAGTTAGAGAGAGAGGGGAAGAGATAGAGAAACCTTCCATCTACTGGTTCGCTCCCTGAATGGTTGCAACAGCAGGGCTGGGCAAGGCTGAAGCCAGGAGCTTGAAACTCCATCTGCATCTTTACCACTTCCCCAGGTACTTTGGCAGGGAGCTGGATCAGAAGTTGAGTCCCTGGGCATTGAATTGGCATCCATACAGGATTCTCATGTTGCAGGTGGTGGCAACATGAGGTGCAGCACTGTGCCATAGTGCTGGCCTCTTTTTTTCCCTCATATGCAAATTAATTTTTCATTTTTCAATAAAGATTTTCATTTAGTTGACTTAAAAATTATGGTATCTTTTATGTTGCTATAAAATTTTTATATTTACAATGTCAAATGGTTGAAAAAAGGGCATTCTAAAACTTACTTTATGATTCTGTCCTAACTTTTGGATCACTCTATTGTTGTTTTTACTAAATTAAGTAACATTGTGATAAACATTTTTGTGTTTACATACATTCAATTTTATGGATTATTTATTTGGGACAAATTCCTGGGAATATAATATCTGGATTTTACAAATGTGAACCTCGGGACTGGTGTTGTAGTGTAGCGTGTTAAAGCCACCACCTGGGATGCTGGCATCCCACACAGGCACTGGATCAGTCCCTGGCTGTTCCACTTCTGAATTTCTAGATGGAAGATCTCTCAGCTTCCTGCTGATTTTGTCTCCTAACATTTCATATATACACCATCCTAGCCAATGAGTAAAGGAAACAAAGCAGAACAAAACACAAGCTACTTCAATACTGGGCTTAAAAAATTCTGTTTCCTACCTGAAAAGGATGTGAAGATAAGAACCAAGGCCAGTTAAAATATGCCACCACGCATGAAACTGGGTGGTGACACCTATGAGAGGTGGCACCTTCTTTCTAAAGTTCCTGGGTAGAAGGGAAAATCACATTAAAATTTAAAAATATTTAGTAACTAATGCTGGCAGTCTTGGAACACTCTGAAATAACATTCTCAAATATGGTTATTATTTAATTTCCTTAAGTCTGCTATAGTCCACCATGTTGTTTTCCACAATGTATTTTGAAAAATAATATTCCTGGCAAAAATTTCTTGAGAAAATAATTCTTGAGGTAAAAGAAATATGACAAACATCATATAGTTAGTCACTGTCTTAGATTTTTAATACATGTTAACAGATTAAAGGCTTTGAAAAGTCCTACTGTAAATAACATAGTTTATCTTTCCTTTCTCTTCAGATAAATGAAGAATCTATGAACATTCTTCAGGTAATTCTTATTAATACTTTGTGGAACACGTGTTTCTGGAACATATTTTGGCAAACATGACTCTAATCAGCTACAGACTTACCTGGATACACACTTTTCTTTTATACTACAAACAAATGTCACCTCTTATAGTACCATACATACTACAAAGTCCTTTTATAGGTGTCATTTCACTTCATAGTCAGTGATTATTTGGGGAGGATATTAGTTTTACTTTATAGAGTAGGAATCTAAAATTCAGAAACTTTTAAATGAGTTGCCCAAGTCAGTTAGCTAGGGACAGCTGAGTCCCAAAGTCTAGATCTTCTGATTCAATGCATACCATGGCATTACTATTTACTTGAGACTTCTGAGATGATTCCTATCTCCAGGAGCCGACATTATTTCTTAGTGGTTCCTTCCCAGGGGTGATGCTCTCTCCCTCAGCAGATGAAAAGCTTTGTGGGGTATGCTCCTTTCTCATTCAGAAGCCCTCATCTAGATCTCTGTTTTCTAAGCATGACATGTGGCTTGTATGTCCTCATTGAATGTCTACAATTACCTGTTTAACTCTCTGCCATAAAGAATTTCAAACAACACAAAAGTAGATAAAATGAAATGTACTGGTTACACTACTTCAACAACTTACCAGCTTATTGTCAATCTGTGGCATCTAAACTCTCATCTACTTCTACCTTTCATGTTACTTTGAAGCAAATCCAATACATTCTATTATTTTATTATAAATCATTCCTAATTATTCAAGAAAGATGATGAAATGGATTCCAAAAATACATTTAAAATATGATGAGCTGCAAAAGTTCTGAGATGCAATACATAAAAACCCAGGCCCTACAGACATTATGAGGTATTCTCCAAACTTTCAGGTATGTTAAATAGGTATTCCCAGAATGTTACTGAGGTGCATCCATCTTTTAAATGTCAACAATGGTAAAAATCCATTTCAGGTCACTATTATTTCTACAGGCATAGTAAACTCTATGTTCATAAAAAATTTTCTAAACATATTTCTCAAGGAATAGAAAGTTTTGTCTTACCTCAGTGACACACAAAATATGTTATCTATATTCCATAATAAAAATCCAAATAAAAATACACCTAAGGAGGTATAACCCAGTCCTCTAAGCCATGGATAGACCCTGTGGAGGGAAAAAGAAAACAAAGGGAAACTTTTCTTAGGTCATGTCACAGACAAAGCTTGAAGTTAACACCTTTATGAGAAGGAAAGTTTTCATTAGTATTAAAATTAAGCCTATCCTTTACATTCTGTAATAAATATGCCTACTGTATTTACTCATTAAAAGGCACTGACAAAGAACAGACCTCCAAGACTTTGCTAAGTATGTAAGAAAGGCAACTGAAAGTGTCCAACAACATTTTTCAGTGTCAAAGAGGAGATGTGGTGGGTGGTAAATTTATTTTTTATTTGTTTGTTTAAACACACAGAAGCTTTTTATTTAATTTGTTCTAATTTATTTAATTTATTTTTATTATTATGTGACACAGTTTCATAGGCTCTAGGATTTCTCCAGCCCCTCCCCGTGTCCTCCCTGCCCCCCATGATAGATTCCTCCACCTTGTTGCAGTATTACAGATCAAATTCAGTTGAGATTCTTTCATTGCAAGTATATATCAAGCAAAAAGTCTAGCATCTAATTGTCCAGATACATTCAATGGTTTCTAGGGGAGACCATCTCTGGTCTGGAAGTAGAGCTGGCAGAATATCATCTCAGTCAATTAAAAGCCCCAATTTAACATCAACAACAATTTACAATATTATGGAATTAATTGACATAGTATTGAGTAACCAATAAGTTAGAAAATGCAAGTTCTTAACCACATCCTGTGACTACTTCATTGACATTTTGATTTTAGTTTATATACAACCAGCTTCTATACACCTTAAAATGGCTAAAGGGTACATTCAGTTGTCTCGTGTCTATCCTCACTTTAGTTTTTAGCAGTCTATAGCATTGAAGCATAATTCTACTGAACTTGGCAGATTTTAGGATAGTCTAAACTGGCTTATAACTCTAGCAAGGCATATGTCAACAGTTGAGTTGTAGAACTGTTTTAGGAGGGGTGTGCAGAGAAATCTTCCACTGCCCAGTGAGTAACTAATCTGTGTGTCCTACCTAGTAAGGTTTATGTGAATCCTTGCTGACCATTTCCTGTCTGGTTCTAAGCTTTCCTTGTTGTTTTCTTTCTATTTTAATTTTGTTAGTTTTTTTTGGGGGGGGGGTGGTGCTCCGGAGCGACCCTGATGGTCATTGCAATAGAGGATGGGGATCCAAAGTTGAACTAAATAAGGACCAGAGAAAGCTCCTTTCCCTAGTCCTGAAGGAAGTTTACTGTTCTGTTTCTATGGACCACTCAGGGCTCCTGGCTGTTGTTCTGATAACCTTGGATCCTGCAAGGAAGGATTTGGGCTTCTTTCATCCCATGTGGTAGATCCAAGCGTGGGTGGATGACCTCAGAGTTTTCGGCCTCCGAAGGCTCTCCAATTCCCAGTGGTCTCCTTGGCCGTTGTGATGTAGTCCTTGGTGAGGATCCAGGGTTCTCTACGGTTGGGATACAAGCCTCCTCCTGTCCACCTGCTCTACTCTGGGGCACCCCTGCTCTGTGCATATGACTTCCTGTTAAGAGGTTGTCAGGATCGTTCTAGATTCCACCTATATGTTCCTGATAGGTTATACTTCACATCATCCTCACATATTCTAAGGAGATGGAAGACATCTCTACCTTCCCGCCCCATTTCCGAGTAGCATAGGGTCTAAAAGTATAATTACAATCCTTTGATGTAGGTCATAAGCAGTCTGACTCACATTGATTGTTGGTTCACATCACAATAACATTGCATGTGATACAGGCTGTTTGAGGTTGATAGTATTACAATTTACAGGTACTATTCTTCAGATTGACATTATTTCATCTTAAATTAAGGCAAACATGTGGTATTTAACCTTTTGGGATTGGCTCATTTCCCTTAGCATAATGGTTTCCAATTGGGCCCGTCTGACCACAAAGAAATGCATTTCGTTTTTTTAAATAGCTGAGTAGTATCCCATGGAGTAAATGAACCACAGCTTTCTTATCCATGGGTGGTAAATTTGAATCAACACAGGTTGAGTTACATACTCTAATGTCAAGTACTCTAGTTAACACACACACACACACACACATTACATCAATAATATAGAGCAATTCAGAAAGTTCATGAAAAACACATTAATTGAAGAAACTGTTGGCTTCAAATTTTTAACACTAAAACAACTTGTATTATTTTTTAAAATGTTCACCTGAGACAGAGAAAATAAAAGGGATGATGAGGAGCTGGAATCTGCTTGCTGACCCCCTGACCTCCAATACCTGCAACGGTCATGACTGGGAGCCAGGAGATGGAAACTCAACCCAGGCTTCTCATGTGGCTGGCAGAAACTTATTACTTGAGTCCTCTTTGCTGCCTTCTGGGGTCTACTTTTAGTAGGAAAACTGAAATCAAGGGCCAATGTCATGACTGATTCTAGGTACTCCAATCTGGGATGTTCTAACTGGAGGCATAACTGCTTGGCCAAATGCCTACTCCTGAACTTATCTGTTAGTTTCATTTCCATGAATTTCTTATTGTATCTTTGTACATGTTGAAAATTCTTTACCAAACCCTATTCTAAGCACTTGGGAAAGTAGCAATGAATAAAGAAAAAGTACTTTGCTCCCAAGGAATTATATAGTTGGGGAAAATAACCAACCAATATATAATTGGTTATGAATGCTTTGAAGAACAAGACTTGGGAATGGGAGAATGATATGCAGGTATTTGGATGGGGTGTGAATACACACGTGCGCACACTCACACAACACACCCTGAAACTCTTCAAGTAGATAATATTTTTTCTGCTTTGTTGATGAAAAAGCTGAAGCTTATTTAGTGACTCAAAATAATGAAAGTAGCTTTATTTTTATGGTTTTATAGTTTTAATGAAGTTTTTATTTTTATTGTTTTATAGTTTTAATGAAGCATAATAGACTTACATTAAACTGCATAGATTAAAGTGTGTATCTATATACATCCATGGAACTATCACTAAAGTCACAACACACATCCACTACTTTTAAAAATGTAGTTTGCATTTTTTAAAGATTGGAATAAATACAATCATACCATACTTATATTCTTTCCTGCATGACTTCTTTCATCTGACAAGGAGTTTGGGATTCGCCCATGCTAGGTATAGCAATATTTCCTTTCCTTTCACTGCTGAGGATATAGCACAATTGGTTTATCTATTCAAATCCTGGAGGCATTGTTTCCAATTTTTGACTACTTATTTACAAATAGAGTAGAGCAGCTATGAATATTAATAAATAAGACTTTGCATGAACATATGCTTTCACTTTTTTTGGATAAATAGCTGGGAGAGGAATGGCCAGGTTGTACAGCAGGTAAATGTTTACCCTTTTAAGATAATTGTGAAATTATTTTCCTACAACATTATACCATTTTATATTACTACCAACATATGAGTGTTCCATTTGTCCTCTATCTTTGCCAACATTTGGTATGATGTCAGTCCTTTTCATTTTAGCTGTTCTGGTACATATGTAGCAGTATGTCATGTGATTTTAATGTGCACCTAATGATTAATATTGTTGAACATCTTTTCATGTACTTGTTTGCCATCACATACTTTTTTCAATAGTATTATCTGCCTTATTATTGAGTTACCAGATTTCTTTGTGTACTGAATAAATACTTTGTTATATACATACATACTGCAAATATTTTCTCCAAGTCATTGACTTGTCTTTCATTTTATCAACATAGTCTTTTGAACAAAAAATGTTTATAGTTTTGATGAAGCTCAATTTAACACTTTACAGTTTGTTTTTATGTATCTGTGTCCTAATTAGTGAATTTTCACATAACTAAAAAATAGGATTTATTGAGGTATGAAGTTGCTATTGGAACAAGGACTTCTTTTTTTTTTAAAAATTTTGTTTTATGACACAGTTTTTTCATTGCAAGCATGAATTATGTATAGAGTCCAGCTTCTTATTGTACAGATAATTTCAACCATTTCCTTGGGAGACCATCCCTGGTCTGAAGGTAGAGCTGGCAGAATATCATTCCCTCCAATGAAAAGCTCCAACATAACATCAACAAACAATTTACAACATTATGGAGTTAATTGACATGGTTTTGAGTGGCCAGTATGTTAGAAAATGCAAGCTCTTAACCACATCCTGTGACTACTTCATTGACATTTTAATTTTAGTTTATATACAACTGGCTGCTATACATCTTAAAATGGTTATAGGGTACTATTCAGCTGTCTCATGTCTATTTTTATTTTTATATTTAGCAGTTTATAGTACTGAAGCATAATTTTTACTGAACTTGGCGAATGTTAGGATAGTCCAAACTGGCTTGTAACTCTAACAAGGCATATGTTAACAATTGAGGTGCAGAACAGTTTTAGGAGGGGTGTGCAGAGAAGTCTTCACTACCTTAGTGAGGAGTAACTAATCTCTGTGTCCTACCTAGTAAGGTATATTGAGTCCAAGCTGACCCGTTTCCTGTCTGGTTCTAAGCTTTCCTTGTTGTTCTCTCCATATCTAATCTAATTTTAATTTTTTTCCTTGAAGTGTCATAATTTTAACACTTATACTTGGGGTTATAATCCATTGTTGTTAAAGTTTTATAATAGCATTAGGCTGAAGTTAATTTTTTTTCATGAGTATATCCAGTTTCAACACAATTTGCTGAAAAAATGATCCTTTCCTCACTGGATTACCTTGATGTATTTACTAAAATTAGGTCAGTATGGGTGTAGGGTTTAATTTTAAATGTTCTAAATTTCCTATTCATTACCAACACATTGTCTTTATCGGTGAAGCATAGAGTAAATCAAATAATCTAAGTCCTCTAACTTTGTTCCTCTTTTCCAAAACTATTTTGGCTATTCTAGATCTTTTGCATTACCACATTGGTGTCAAAAACAGTTTCTCATTTTTTGCCAAAACACCTGCTAAGATTTTGTTTGTGATTGTATGGAATTTACATATCAGTTTGTGAGAACTGACAATTTACTAAATAATATTGAGATTTATAATTATAATATGGTATATCTCTCCAACC